TTAGAAAAAGCATTTCTCAACTGGATTCAATAGAGCCTGTTTGGTCTCACTATCCAAGTGGATTCATAAAAATAACTTCATCTCTCCACAGTCCTAACTGTTGTCAAACTATTGTAAAAGGTAGCAGTTGCTACATTCCTTTAAGCTTTGTAGAAAATGGGGAATATATCATCACACTGCACCCAAAATGCAAATACTGTGATTATTTTCAAAGGTACATCCTTTGAACTTATTTTATAGATGGCCTAATGGATTAAGACTAACAGTTTAAGATGGAGAGACAGCTTTCATGAAAAATATTCACGCATTGGTAACTGGCTAATTCAGTCTTTATCGTTTTAATTTTCATAAAAGCATCATTGCTTTATTTACAGCAGTAATATAACAATTGAGTAAGTAATAAAAACACAAATATTTTTATGATCGTGAAGCTGCATAGTTCAGCAGCCCTTAATTTAGTCTGGAAAAACATCTGTTCATAAAAATGTGGGGGTGAGTGCACGCAAGAGCAAAATTAATTTGCTGAATCCTTGCTCCTTATTACCATCAAACCAGAGCAGAGTAACTGAAACAGGTTTAATAATTATTCATTACAGTCTAGCCCTAAACCAGTTTAAGACCATAATACAGAGATTAAAATATCAAAAACATAGATTTGTGTTGTTCTCTCTACGCTGAAAATATAATTTATTTTTAGTATTTTGAAATTTTGCATGGAGGACATAGTATATGCATTAACACCATGTGTTGAGGAAAATCAGTCTCTGCAGTCAGCATCACATCTCTTGCTGTATAAAAGCATATATGACAGCCTTGAGAATCACCAGTTGAGGCACAAACCCTAAATAATATAAAAGGCTGAGCGGATTTACTAATTAGAGGGCAGAAAGTACGAGTTCAGGCATGTACCTACAACACAGAGACACAACTTGGAGCAAAATTCAGTTTCAGCAACCCAATTCAGCAATTCAATGAATTTCAAAGAAATTAAATTTCTTTAAATAAAACCTTTTAATGAATGATATCTCATTAATTTTGTTCACAATAAGTTGCTTTTCCAGTAAGTCTAATTGCAATTCTCATAAAAGTAGTTATTAATCTTTACATTTCAAAATTATTTTTATCAGAAAGTTGTCAGAATGTCTACTTATGAAAAATAACTCATTAAATGAGTTACTGAGCTTCTAATTAGAAGCTACAATTATATTCTAATAATTATATTCTCATTTTCCTATGTGCTTCAAAAGGAGGGAGAACATTTTCAATTTTATCAAAAAGAAAAAAAAATATTATTTTTAAGTCTTATTAAACTCTTCACTTCTTTTTCTAAATACTGTAAAAAGTTTCAGAAATAATGTTTCTTAGTATAAAAAAGTGAATAATATATAAAAAAATGTAATGCTTTATGCAGATCTGAGACAGTCCTCTTGACAAAGCTAAAACCACTTTCTCTTTAAAGATCCTCTTTTTAGTTGTAGCTACATTTGTCAAATCACTGGGGCTGATTTTACAGAAGCTTCCATCAGATTGATTTTGGTTTTATTTTCATATTTCCTTTTTTTTTTACAGACAGAATAGTTCAGGTGCTTCAACACCAAGAGTACAAAAAAGAAGTTAAACTTAGAGTTGCAGAGTTTCATTACAGAACAAATGGGAGATAATTTGATGAGGAAGTAAGTTATTTAAACCAGTGATAAAAAAAGCAGCTACCACAGATAGTTTAAAAATAGTTTCAATTACATTTAATTATTAAGTATTTTAATTCCATTTAATTATGATATGTCAGTAGTTATATCTATTACACTGTACATAATCCTAAGAAAATACGGACCTTTTAAAGCCCATAAATTGCTATGTACTTAAGTTAAACATTCCAAAATTTTGCTATGAAGATTTAATTCATATATGATAGTGCTGTTAAACTCTGAATGATCACAGGGACTCTAAACACCTCAGCTACACAATTTAGACAGATGCCTTTTTTCTGTATTTTCTCCGTTAGTAATTTTTTCAACTTGTATTCCATTATTGAAACGCACACAAATTACATTAGTCACATATCAATGTCACACTTTCCAGACCTGCAGTTTCTTGGTTTTCATAATGGTATTAAATACCAGTTTAAACACCTTAAGCTATACTTTTGTGGAGGTGGAAATGTAAACCAGACTTTAGTATAGCACTTTTATTTTTTTCCGTAGAAAAAATAGCTTTTTAGTTTTCTCTGTAGAGGAAGCACTGTACGGATTTTCTTACAGAACTTACCAAATATCTTTCTGAAGAGACACTGACTAAAATAAGATCATCTCCAACACGCACTTTTTCTCCTTCTGATCGTTGCTTGGAAGCAGGATGGATGGTCCACCAGCATGCCTCACCTGTATCATTATGGAGTAAGAGCAGAGAAAGAAATTACAAAGAAAATGCCTAACATTTTCATCATTACTTTCACATTTATCTGAATCCTAACGTTCTGACCCAGTTTTCAATGGGGTAAGCCAAGTGTCCATGTGTTTTCAATAACTAATATCGTTCCTGCACTACCTTGTCAGAAACTCAGGTGGAAATAATACACATATGCAGAAGACAGCAAGACCTCTGGAACAGTGATTCCAGAGCTGAGTAAGGAGGCGGTTCTCTGTGTTCTGGTCTGGTCCAGGCTGCTTTTGCTAAAGAGCTTCCCTGTCACCTTTGTTCCATGTTCTGGGAAAGACATCGAAGAATATTCTGCTGAGAATTAGGACAAAGAAGCGAGTGTGTCTAATTCCCCAGAATATTTATAAGTATGTAAATCACAGATTTTGTCCCATGATAAACCTTGCTTTCAGATATACTTCTTGAATGAAAAGCATGCTTTTCAGAAAAAATCTCTTTGATCTTGGAACTGGTTCAATTGCTGCTGTTATCACTGTTATTACTCCTAGCAGAGCAAGGCTGTAAAAACAAGCAAACTTATAATTTTTAATTACGCAATTACACCAAACTAATGGCATCATAAGAAGCTGTGTCAGTCTTAAAAATGCAAATAAATCCAAGTCACCAGCAGTTCTAAAACTTGAATACAATCTTTATTTAAAATAATGCAAGTTAAAAAAATTTCAGCAGAAGGCTTCTACAGGAATAACAAGTTGGGAATATTTCTTTACTTATATTCAATATTACAAATTTATATTTAAGTATCAGTAGACATGTTTATGTCTCATAGAAAAGAAATCTATTGGAAAACTTAAAGATAAGATACTGAATGTGTAAACCACAGAAATAATAAATTTTGTTTCTTTAGTCCTTAAAATAGCCTGAATTTTTACATTATTTATATTTATTTACAGGTTTCTATTCTGATCTTTAGACTGAAAGCATTCTTCATTATGTAGTCTTTTAAACTAGTGTTTACCTGTTGTGTCCTCTTGCAATCCTACATCAAATGCCAGCTTATCCATTGAAGATCGAGATGTAGAGAGGCAGCATAGATACTATCAAAAAAAAAAAAAAAAGCATGCGTTACTAGTTCTGCTCACATCTGATAATCCACCGAAATATAAAAAGCCATCAGCCTTCTAACACAGGATTAACTGTTCTTAAATTATCCCCACTAGTTACTATCAAGAACATATATACTTGATAAACTGAATGGCACTCAAGGAGACTTGACAAAGATATATGTTCTAAAATAACCTCTTTAGTCTATCCAGGTTACCGTTCCACTGAGACAGGAATAGTGAGAGTGGAAATAAAGGAGCTGGTTGCATTGAAGTTCAGCTCCACGGAGCCTCACTTGTAGTTAAGGAGTTTGGAACCTGTATAATTCATCAGGGAATTGAAGAACAAGGCTTCTGTCCAAAATATGTGCAAGAAGGAATTTCCTTTCCCACTCAGTCTCCAACATATGTTCAGGTTGCCAGCCAGATGCCAGCTATGGATTCAGTCACAGCTTATGCAATATGCAATATCCAAGAGAAAAGAAATGAGAAATCACCAACTCAAAACAGACTGACAAACAGAGAACTCGTCACTATGGAGCCAGACTTAGTTTTATCACTTACCCTGATATGACCAGCTTGGTTTTGTATTTCCAAGCATCTACCCTACACAAAGATTTCCATGAACCACAGGTAAAATGCCTCTTTGATGTGAATAGTTCTTCAGATACCAGTAAATGGCAATAGTCTTGGCACTTTAAAACATAAGTTTCATACAAAAAAGAAATTATTACTGCTATTAACTCCTGTTACATACCATGCCGCTGTATGAATGGCGCAGCAGGATTGCATGCCCATAAAGCAGTGTTCGATGACCACCACCTTGTGCGGACTGAAAGACAAAGAGAAGTGATATACTGGTATGTTGTAATCAAATCAGGCCTTCTGAGAAAGAAAAAAAAGAAATCCTCATTGATTCCTGCACAATCTGTATTTGCCCTGTGACAGAGAAGCCTATTTTTTTACAAAACGCTATTCAGGGATCTATTTAAGAAGGTAGTTCTATGAACGTGTTCTCTTTAGTTTTGATTGCTTCTTAATATATTGACTTTTTAAGTCCTTGGGGCAGATCTAAGGAATAATTTGGATAGGCGAATCTAGAAGTTACTGACTTTTTCTATTAGAAGCGTTCAATTCACTGATGAGGGAAAACAGTGTAACAATTTGGTCTAAAATAATTCTAGAAGCATGAAACCTTCTTCCTCCAGCTGAAAGTAGGCAGCCTCTAGAGAAAAGCAGCTTTGATACATGCTACTACCCTCAGCACCCTTATGTATTGTTAATCTCTCCATCTTCACCTATTTTCCCTCTAAATGATATACTTTTCTAAACAGAAGGTATGCAGAGGTAGCTTCTGGAATGTTGTCCCTGTTTTATTGGAAAGTATTAATGATACATCAATCACATTGAAGATCATCAACCTCCAGACTGCTTGCCTCACAGTGTTGAAATACTATCAGACAGAATTCTTTATCTGCTAGGCCAGGTAAGTGCTCAAAGATATCCAAGCTAACTCAAAAGGATTTGAGGGTTCTGAAAATACAGAAATCATGCCCAAGTAAATGTTCCTCTTGAGAAATGCAGCATAAATCTTGAGTGAAAGAAAATTAAAGTAATAAAATTCCCTTTTATCCCAAGAAACTGCAACCATTTTTTTTTCCACAGTATTTTCATTACAGTTTCTATTTATCTATAATCAGTTTAACCACTCATGAAAGAACAGATAAATCTTGTTGAAGTATGAGCAACCTTTCAACTTCTGCTGAAGATTTATGAATTCCTGAGACCGAGATGCAGCTGACTGACATTGGTCAGGAGCAGAGACTGTCAGACAAGACACTGTCAAGAACATAAAGTCCATATTCCTCTGACAGAACATCTCATGTAACATTATGTACATCACGCTCTTCAAGCACCATCGATAAATACATATTTTGAGTATATAAATATGACAACTCCGTAAGTAACATTATTCTTTCATATACAATTCCTGATTTAATTTCTTATATACAGCATTTATACCCTTTCGTCTATCACAGTAGATCGACCTTCTGTTTGACTGCAGCATCAGATTCATTACAGAATAAATTGGAAACAACCATACTATGTTATCTCTCTGGCAGCTTCATTTTCAGTGCTGAAGATCAGTTTAACTGAATGGCTACAGTGGCAACTAACAATTATTTCCCCTCCTCATTTACTGGTTGCCCTTCCTTATCTTTTATCCATTAGCTTAATATTTGTGGATCTTTGAGTTACTTGGTCAAGGAGAAAAAAAAACAAAAGGAAAGAATAGAAGAATAGGTGGTAAAAAACCAAGCACTTCAAAATATAATAATTTTAGCACTTTTAAGAAACTGCCAGGAATTTCTGGCTTTTATCTTTATTGAGAAGAGAGCATCTTGATGGACACAAGGTGTATTTTGACTTTCAACAAATCGCATAGCAGTCAAAATGCAGGGAGGCACATTCAATAATCTCTCTGGAAGACTGAATGACGTGAATTTTTATTAAGAATAAAAGTCATCATCTTTGTCACAGATGTAGTCTTGACAGTAAGAGATGAAAATTTAGCTTTGAACTACCATTACTACCACCACTTTTTCCAAAGGCACAAGGAAAGAACGAGGCATTTGATAATGTCAGGCCCATTGTGCAAAGATGAATGCTGAATGTCCGCTGCTCATCCTACTGGGGGCAAGGGAAAAAACTACTATGAACATACTACCTTACCAACTTTTCAGATTTGCCCAGAAGCTTTATCAATAGCAGGCACAGTTACCAAACCAAGTCACTAATACAGACAAAAGTTTGAAATTTCACTGATATCTTTATCAAAATTATTCTGTGTTACTAGCCATAAATGTGGTATCTAACATATAGATTTGGTTACCTGTTGTACAAACGATAAGAGGAATAGTGTGTTCAACAAAATCACAGCTATGTTAGCTTGCCCTTGTTTTGGCCATATGGATTTGTCTAACACCTATACCGTTAAATGCTCATTTGTAGCCAAACACGAGAAAGGTTAGCTCAAAAAATTTCACTTTTGTGAAAAATGGGGGAGTGTTTTTTTTAGATAATTTTTCCCAAGAAGATTAAAGTAGTTCCTTTTAACTAAAATTATTTTTTCCATCAAAAAAAAATGCAAGCAATTTGCTTTAGACAGAAAAAAAAGAGTTGAAAAAACCATTTCAAGCATTTTCCACATAAAGGTTTCTGAGAGGCAATTACAATCAAGCCATCCACATGGAAGAAAAGTAACAAGATGAAAAACAGAAAAATACAGGAGCGACCAGAAGAGAAAGCTGGTACTGAAACTCCTTCCAGGACATGTGCATACCTATAAGTTATTTTCCTATTTTAAAGGCTCATTTCATAACTAAATACTCAGCATTTCTTTTTATGCCAGAAACTGCATATTAAGTAGCTGTTGGGCCATGACGGTCTACTGAAAGAGTCTTTGACTTTCAAAATAATCCATTCCTACCTAGAATGTTGCAAGAACTGTAAATTTTCCATGTTAAAATACATTTTAAAAAATAATAAATTAAAAGTTAACAACTGGATTTCTCTGGCAAAGATGCAACTTTCCAAGCTGAGGTGTGCCACTGAAATTTTACCAAGTTTCTAATAATATTCAAATAATATTGCTTCAGAAGTTACTGCAAGCAAGACTTCTTGGAAGCCACAATCCCGACCAATTCATAATGCCCAGATTTTTGCACAAATATACGAATGGCATTGTAATGCAAGCAAATAACTAGCAACCACATTATTATGGGTCTTATTTGCTTTATGTTTTTGATTTCCAATTTTTAGAGTAATTTCTAAGTTGGACAACACATTCCCTGAATAAAACCTGGCTGGAGAAAAAACCCATGTGTGTTCAAAGAAGAATTTATCCATTGAGTTCTACAAGCTATGCCATTCAGGAGTATCAATCATATGAAAGCAAAACTCTCCTCCTCATTTTATCCTCCAGGAATTTGGGATTTAGATTAAGACTTGAAAAGCCTTCAGAATTGGTAAACACTACAGTCAATAAATTGAGATTGAAAGCATATAGGGTAAAATTACACTGCTTGTGACAACTTCATATAAACTGCCCATCTCTAGTCTAATATTTCTGCAGCTGGAATACAAGATTAATTTGGTGTCATCTCATTACCCAAAAGCCACTGCCACAGCAAAGGCAATTTACAATACAACAACAATAATTAGAGCTGAAGAAATTAGCATTGAAAATATATAAACAGCTTTCAAGTTCAATGCATTGTTAGACCAGGCGATGAGAATAGACTACTAAAATCTGAGCTGCTCTAATTTGACGCAAAGAGTGTTATCTTGAAACAAAAATAAAGAAAATAAGTTGCAATTGGTAAACATTTATTTTCCTTGTTTTCTTAGTAGAAATAGGATTAAAATGCCAAAAAGAACTTAAATATTACAACCTACAAACTATCTAGTAAAATGTGCAAATGATGGAAGGAGCAGAACATGAAATGTCTATAATTAGATTGAACTTTACTCAGCATACCAACCCTGCAGTAACATATGTTTTACATGAGCCAAAAACCCCTTTATATCTGTACAATTTTGTATAGACACAACTGTCATAAGTACAGACATGCAATCACCTGACAGAGTAAAACAGGTATTTCATTGACATTAATTCACACAGTAGAACTTGCACCACTGTGCCGATGGCTGCATTGCTACACTTGTGGCCATACATGAGAAGCTGCAGGAAATTAATCATGGTGACACTGAACAAGTGTTTTGGAGCCATTTGTCTTTCTGGGAACCTCACTTAGGATGAGAATTTTTAGAGATTACTAAATATTCTGTAGCATCCAAGGAGAATTTGAGTCAAATAACCATTACCATTCAAGAGAATAGTCTTATTTCTACTAGAGAAAACACTTCTTAGACCAATGAGTACTCTACTACAAGCAAATGCCAGTATTTCTTTGCTGACTTTTCTTCACAGGTCTACACAGTCTCAAAGTGTATGAAAAGGGAAAAAGCGATGAGCTTCAGGGAGGTACCAGAGAAAGAAAACCATGTGAAAGATGTAATTAAACAGCATAGTTATTTCACTGTTTTGTGCATGTATGGACAAAGCTTTCATAACATTGCCATTATTCAGAAATCTAATGCTTGAGAAAGCCTGACAGCAGTTGCATTTAGCACATGGCTATTCAGACAATTTGAGTCACCCATGGAAGCAATCTAAAAATATTGATTGTGTCACAAGAATACAGAAACTGAAGCACACTCTCTAGAAAATCATGCAAGATAAACCAGTGAGTTTTAAAGAACAACCCAATGGCTTTTCCTGCCTCATTGCATGATGAGCCCGTAACAGCAGAATGTGAGAGCAGCTGTATAGTGAAAGAAGCAATGTGGTCCCTATTTTTCTTCAAATATGTTTTCCAAGGCAAATACCGCAAGATAACATTAAATGTTTCAAATATGACTTTTAGTGCCTATTTCACATGTATACTTGAGTAAAACAATGTCCTTTAAAGCACTTGAGTACTTACACTTCATTAAAATGGAGCAAGCCTCTGAAACAAATCCTGTTAATGCTTTATTGCCAAAGCCAATTGGGAAATCAATGCTTACTGAATTTGTTGTTGTCACAGACTTAAAGTGCTAACAGCAGCTTAAAACTGCAACATGTAATAAGGGAAAAGAACAAAACACAGCAACTTGGTATTTAGAATAAAAATATTGCCAACTTTCATATTTGAACACGTCTGGATGAGGGCAAAAGCTAACCGTTTCTCCTAATGACAGCCAGCAAAATAGATGCTGGAGACAACA